AGCTTCAGAGCCAAACATCTGCATGGCCGTCTACCAAGACTTATACAGGAGGTCATCAGAGGGGCTGCTGAGATCTGATGGAAGGGCCCCCATGCTGTGAAAGAGCCAATATGGAGAGTCAAACGCGGGGCAGAAAGGAGCAGACACAATCGTGGTTGGGCATTAGAATGATTGGAAATTCATGAATTGAATTATTATATGGAGTATTGTCCTTCCAAATGGCAAATGTTACAAACTGTATCAGAGGCGGCAGCTGTAACATAAATATATCAACATGTTCCTGAGACTTGGGATTCCTGTGGAAGAACGGGATATCCAGATCTGCAAGTGGCAGCGGATGTGGGGGACTATCCTGGCCAATGATTGTGTTTGATGACAACAGCAAAAGATCCCAGCAGTGAATAAGCATCAAACGATCAGTAAAAGTTTATTGAGTGCTTTGTATATAAGCCATTTTGTCCTTTTTTAGGTGTAAGATTAGAAGTTCAGCTTTGACAATACTTTTGCCTTTACTACATTATTTATTTCTCACTCTTACAGTAAGATTTTTTTTTCTCAGGAAGTTATAGAAATATTATATATTAGATTATATTATACTGTATTATATTAGAATATACATATATATATATATACATACACGGTATATCTATTATGTTGTGTTATATTATATTGATCTGGGTTAAGACTTGCATGGCTCAGTATGTTTTTTGCTCAGCCTCTAGATGGTCACAAGTGTCATTGTGCACACACAGGTTGTTTTTTTTTCTATGATAAAGAAAACCTTTAATGAGAGATTCTTGCCAACGCTGACCATTGCTTCTGAAAATGCGAATGCCCTGGCTGCCATACTAATGCATTGGCTTCAATGCTTCCCGAGTCACTGAGTATAGAGATAAGGAGTTCTGACACTTTCCTCCTTTACAGCATTTTGCAGGGAGCATGAGATTCGCTGATTGCAGAGCTCTGGTTCTGACTTAGTAGGGGGTGTGTTGGACCTCTGCAGAGAGACCACTGCTTCCACACAGACAGCAAGTGTCCTTCTCTGCAGCATGCTGGCGGGTGACAGGCTTTTCTACTCAGACTTGTGGATGCTTTCTAAAGGAAACCAACTGCAAGACTTTGCACAGCTACAGAGAGGCTTGGGAAAAGAGCTAGATGATAATGGATATCCGCCAGCCAGGAAATGAGGCGGGTTCTATCTGACTTGCTACAGCTTCTAATGCACATTGTGAGAAGCTCCCAGTGTGCAGTGATATCAGGTGAAGCCATTTCAGTCCAGGAGAGGAACCGGTACAACTGAGCAAGACTGAAGGGAAGGCTGGAGGTCAGTTATAAGACTGAAGGGAAGGATGGAGGTCAGATAGAAGACTTAAGGGAAGGACGGAGGTCAGATAGAAGACTGAAGGGAAGGCCGGGGGACAGATAGAAGACTGAAGGGGAGGACGGAGGTCAGATAGAAGACTGAAGGGGAGGACGGAGGTCACATATAAGACTGAAGGGAAGGCCGGGGGACAGATATAAAACTGAAGGGAAGGACGGAGGTCAGATGTAAGACTAAAGGGGAGGCCGTAGGTGGAACCTGTGATTTACTCATGAAGGGGCAGACAGGTAAAAATAATTGAAATCTGACCCCATATATAAAATTCAAACCAGTTTCTCTCATTCCTCCCTCTCGTTCTAAGCCAGGGTCAGCCGACTGAAGAAAAGCAACCCCAATGGCCAAATGTGACGAGTACATCCAAGAGACGGAGCTCCGGGCTGTGCCCTCGGCCTCCAGGGAGGTTCTGACCGACCAGGATAAAGTAGAGCTCAACGTCCTGGAAAAATACATTCAGCCGTGTCTGGTGGAGCTTCTGGGCAGCACGCTATTCTTCTCCATCGGCTGTCTCTCGGTTCTGGTCAACCCAGATGGAGCCGGCCCCCTGCTGCCAGCTCTGGCCCACGGACTCTCGTTGGCCGTTGTCATCTCCGTCCTGGGCAACATAAGGCTAGTATTGAAGGACAGCAACCATCTTGTAATTCTGAGGAGAGGTGGAGTCCGTGGCAGCCAATCAGAATTTGGTTTATGAAGCTGAATGACAGGAGGAGGTGATTGGGTGCGTCGGCTTGCTATGCTTTGCGTATTGTCTAGACATGTAAGCTAAGGAAAAATTCAATTTGGTTATTTCGGAATTCGGGAGTTGGAACCGATATTCAATTTGTTTCGGATATTTCTTTATTTCGGAATTCGGATCGGAAATTCAAATCGGTTCGGGTTTCGGATTCGGACGGAATCCGGATTTTCGTTAGTTTTGGATGAGTATACGGATATTCGTTGTGAATACCACGGAAAACCACATACAGATACTAATACTAAAACTGATTCACCCGAATGGCATTAGGGAGCTCCAGAATGCAATTCGGAAATTCGGATCCTCAATGTCATTCGGGTCTGGGAGCCTCAGCTTTAGTAATATATGTATATGGCTCCCAGACCCGAATGGCATTGAGGATCCGAATTTCCGAATTGCATTCTGGAGCTCCCTAATGCCATTCAGGTCTGGGAGCCATATACATATATTACCAAAGCTGAGGCTCCCTGACCCAAATGACATTTGGGAGCTCCCAAATGTTATTAGGGAACTTTTAAAGTCGGGCGCTCGGTCATGGACAGTATCAGGAGAGAGGAGGGGGACCCGGTGGCATACCTTATCCCGCCAGGTGAATGTCCTCTCCTCTCTCTGCCGGCGTCCATCACCAAGATGGCCGCCGGCAGGTATCAGAATACTGCCGCGCATGTGCAGTGACGTCTCGGCGGGGTGACACTCGGTTATCGCTCTGGGTGTCACCCAGCCTTTAGACGCCCCAGTGTCCGATTCAGTTTAGTTTTTGAACGAAATTCCGACGGGATCCGAAATTGGGATGTGTCTGAATGTCCGAATTTTGATTTGGAACGGAACGGATCGCACATGTCTAGTATTGACCATGGCCAGCTTGTGCTCCTTATAACTATGTCACCTCCAATGAACCGTGTTGGTAATTCTAAGATCTTCTCTTTTATAGTGGAGGACACTTCAATCCAGCCGTCACCTTGAGCGTGGTCACTTGTGGAGGTCTCACTCCCATCCTGCTTGTACCTTATTGGATATGCCAGCTCTCAGGGGGCATGCTGGGAGCTCTCTTGGCCAAGGTGGGTACAGGGTCAGGGCCAACGTGGTGCCACCAGATGATCCTTTAGAGTCATATACGCTGTATGAAGTCTTTCAACAACCAATTAAAAGTGGCTCCTCCAAAGAAATATTCCCGGACTGCAGAGAAGACAGTAAAAGGGACATAATGTACCATGTGACAGCATTTAAAGTAGATGTAACCCCCGATCCCTAAAAGCTCATCGAAGCTTCAACACGTTCATGTCATTTTAAAAGTCTTTTTAATCATGTTAATTCTGCAGCTTTCATTCAAATAATCCCTGGTGATCCTGCCATGAAGGTCCCTGTTTGGGTACTTCCTGTGACCACGCTCTGTTCCTGTCTCCCAGTTGTGTTTCTGTGTTGTCATCCTGTCACATGCACCCCTGGTGGGGACTACAACGGCTGTGCTGAGACACATTGCCCAGGCATCGTCCACCGTTGTCACCATCAGCTGGTCCATGTGCAGCTGATACTGAAGCGAGTGCATGTAGACAGGAAGTGGCTGAATTGTTGGTTTATAAAACTTTTGTCCAGCCGTACCCTGGACAAATGCCGTTTGAATGGCATTCCCACCACTAGATGGAGCAGAGGAGCATGGGAAATTCTTACAGAGACATGAATCATGGTTCACATATTCATTGTGCCAAGCGATAGAGCTCTGATTGTCTCAAAGAGCTACCTCTTCCTGTCCCAATCTAAGTGGGGCTGTGCAGACGGTTACAGCAGGGTGACACCAATACGTATTCAGGTACTTATACTAGCTTCTAGTAAAGATATATATTTCCACCTGGTGATCCTGCCACTAACATGCTTCCTGTCCTAGGCTGACAACGCTCACTCATGCTACTGTATCTATGGAGGAGCAGATCCTGCCACTAACACACTTCCTGTCCTAGGGTGACAACGCTCACTCACTCATGCTACTGTATCTATAGAAAGACAGATCCTGCCACTAACACACTTCCTGTCCTAGGGTGACAACGCTCACTCAGGCTCCTATATCTATGGAGGAGCAGATCCTACCACTAACACGCTTCCTGTCCTAGGGTGACAATGCTCACTCACTCATGCTACTGTATTTATGGAGCAGCAGATCCTGCCACTAACACACTTCCTGTCCTAGGGTGACAACGCTAATTCATGCTACTGCATCTATGGAGGAGCAGTGTTGTCACCTTAGGATAAGAGGTAATCTGTGCCCAAGCGTTGCATCCTGGGAAGGTTACATCAGCCCAGCACTGCTGGGAAATCTGATGAGATCTTAGGGAAAGGCATTTTCCTCCCCTGAGAGGAAGAAGATATGGGGTAAAGTTCCTCTTTAAAGGACATTTCCACCTTTGTAAGTGATTGCCAGTTTTTGTATTATTGTAATGGTGCAGTGAGGGGCCTCATATCGAAATCTCCTGCCCAGCGCTACGCTGCGTGAATGCCGTCCGCGAGCTTTCCTGCCACTAGAGGGAGCCAAGGAGCATAGTAAATGCTTCATCCAGTGGTGGGAATGCCACGTGAACAGCATTCGCCCAGCATATCCCTGGGTGGGAGATTTATAAATCAGCCCTCACGTGTTTATGATTCACTTTCTTCCAGGGCTTGGCGGACGAGCAGGCCTTCCTGAATCACAGCGGGGCCGCCTGCATGGTGGGCGAGGACACTTCAGTGGGCAAGGCGGTCGGAGTGGAGATAGTCTTCAGCTTCTTCTTGATCCTGGCTGTGGTGATGGGGGCGGTGGGGGAGCGTAGCCAGACTCCGCTGGCCTCGTATTCCATCGGCTTTACCGTCATCACCGGCATTTTAGCGGGGTAACTATGATTATATTTGCATTCATCAATTGTCATTCTGAAATCTCCGTATATACGATTCTCCACACCTGTCAATCATTGATATCATTTCCTGCCAGCCCTGGCGACTACAGGGAAACAGGAGGAGGATGCAGGCAGTACTAGGAGTCTGTTGCTGACAAGTGAATGACAGAAAGGCCAGCCAATAGGATGTGAGTGGGAGGGGCATGCTCTCTCCTTTAGTTATATGACAGCAGTAATACAATGTAACAGAAGCACAAGGTGAGAAAGGGGCGGAGCTTTTATTCAGCTTGTAAGTGATTGACACAAAGCCAGCCAATGGTTTGCTAGGAAGAGGAGGGGATTGATCTCTTTTGATCCCAGCAATAATACAATATAACAGAAGAACAGTGTTAAAAAGGGGCAGGGCTTGCAAGTGAGTGACACAAGGCCAGCCAATAATTTGTTAGGAAGGGGAGGGGATTGATCTCTTTTGATCCCAGCAATAATACAATGTAACAGAAGCAAAGGGTAAAAAGGGGCGGAGCTTTTACTCAGCTTAAAAGTGATTGAAACAAAGCCAGCCAATAGTTTGTTAGGAAGGGGAGGGGATTCATCTCTTGTGGTCCCAGCAATAATACAATGTAACATAAGCACAAGGTAAGAAAGGGGTGGAGCTTGCAAGTGAGTGACACAAGGCTAGCCAATGGTTTGTTAGGAAGGGGGAATACTCTCTTCTCCTGGAGAAGGAGAATGCTTTGATTTCATGTTACAAGCTCCTGTTTTCTTCTTTCTATATGATGGAAATAGCCCCAGCCCCCCACATGTCCCCAGAAATCCTCCTCAGCCTTTGTCCATGTCTTCTGGTCTTGCAGGAGCTCCATCTCCGGGTCCTGTCTGAACCCCGCTCGTGCTCTGGGTCCTGCTGTTGTCACTGGGTACTGGGATTACCACTGGGTATACTGGGTGGGCCCAGCGTCTGCGGCCATCTTGGTGTCTCTCTTCTACAGGTGAGTATGGGCATCACAAGGCTCATGTTATTGGCAAGAAAACACGGAACCAATCAATATATTGTAATGTATCAATTTAAAAGACAGATTAAAGGGGATGTATACTTCACTTATACTGCAGATCTACAATCCCCCTTCCTTAATCACAGTGGAGGGGTGCAGTACATCGGCCCCTAGAAGAGATCTGGCAGCAGTGCTGGTGGTCTATGTAAAGCTGACAGTCCCAGCGGTCCATTTAAAGGGGCCAGCGACTTATGACAGACGTCGGTGGCAGAGAAAGGGTTAAAGCTGTACATATAGAATAGACACAAAGCAATGCAGCTCTGTATTCATTAATACATCCCATATGTAAGCAAGCAGTGCGTCAGGGGTGTGGAAATTAAAAAAACAACTACTTGTCCAAGGGGTAAAGCGGGGGCCGGATCTACTTGTCCCAATACAAAACAAATAGTTTTAATCAAAACTAGGGATGCACCGGTACCAGTTTTTCGATATCAAGTACGAGTACCGATGTATTGTTATCGGTATTCGCTGACACCGAGTACTGATACCGGTGCTTCCGCTGGCATGGAGCCGGCTTCCAAGGCAATGAGGAAGCCAGGCAGCAGGTAATGACATGCCACCAAGCTTTCTGATTGCCAGGGTAGCCGGCTCCATGTTGTTTGGCCGGCTTCATCGTAATTGGCAGGGAAACCGGCTTCCAAGCCAATCAGCATCGAGCTGGCTTCCCGGCCAATCAGGAAGACGGGCAGCGAGTAATGACCTGACCAATGAGTGCTTCCAATTTGAGAGTGAAATTCAAAATGCATAGGGCAGGACTGCGCTGGACAGCAGTAAGGGGTACAGATAGTACACCCGTCCTGGTGGAGGGTAAGCACTGTTCGCCGAAAGGTAAGTATAGCCGGGGGGTGGGGGTTGGGAGAGACGGGGGCCAGATTGGTAATTACATTTTCCATTATCACCTGGGAAAGTGAACTTACCCTTTAATGCACATTGTGCGTGTAGGAGAGTTCTGGTGCCTGGCTACCACAATATGGCACACGGTGGAATGGCAGCAGCACTCAACGCGCACACACACACACACACACACACAATGTCCTACGCGTGCGTTTATTTGCATGCAGAAGGCGGGGGCAGCAGGGTTGGTTTTAATTGTTTTTTTTAACTTTATTTTTCACTTTTATTTTTTATATATTTATTTATTTATTTTTTACTTTTTATAACTTTGTTTTACATTTTTATTCGTTTTTACTTTATTTTTTTTTCACTTAAATTTATTTCTACTACATAGGGGCTTACAATTCCCTATGTGATAGTTTGGAGGTGATTGGAGGTGACAAGTTCTGTTTATGGAACCTGCCCTCCAGCACAGAACAAATGCTCTGTGCAGTTCCTGACAGCCGAGACAGGTGGCGCTGTCATTGCAGCACTCCGGTCTCAGTGATCACGCAGAGCAGAGCAAAGAACAGACGTTCTCCGCTCTGCTCTGCACTCTCTGTTCTGAGCTTATGTGCCGCGGTCCAGGTTTCCCCAGAGGACCCCGAAACCACGGCAGAGGGGGGCGGACATCATCGCTGCTCGTTTGATAGAAGTGATCCGATCAAATCACTTGTATAAAACGTCCAGCGGCTCCCCGCTGAACATTTAGCTCTGCTTGCCCGAGGCAGGGCTGAATGTACAAAAATACTACTCGCCCGGCACCCCAAACTGCATGTCCCAGGCGCTGGGAGAGTAGTTATAGGGCAATAGGAATTCCACACCCCTGTCCATGTATCTGAATTTGACTTGGCATCGGCGTCTTCCATTCCTCCACACAGCAGAGAGGAGACTGGGAGAGGGAGCTGCAGCACAAGGAGCCAATCAGATGAGGGAGATGCAGCACAAGGAAAATGCTGATAGGAAGAGAGAGCAGAGGGACAGAGAGATGGGCTTATCAGTCATCTGCTTCTCCTTTCAGTGGAGACCTTTAAGTGAAAGTGAAACTTCAGCAGAGAAATATCAAAGCCCCTTCCTTGCCAGACAGGGCTGTGCTGTGCTGTGTGTCAGAGCTGCTTAGATCTCCGGACTGGATGGACAGATATACAAACCATTAGGCAGGTGAACATCTTCCTTATATGTCCTTCATCTGTGTATTCAGCCGTTTGCCTGGAGGTCGTCTTCAACATCATATACACTAGAAATTGGAGGTTCTGTCGTTTTTATTAGTGTCATAGGCTGGGGTCCCCACCCAAAAAAATTAAAGGGTCTCTATTTTTTTTATATTGCAGGTTACTCCTGGCCGGAAGACGTCACCGGTTAATCCTGAAATAAAGAAAAAACAAATCAATATTAACATTGAAGTCAAATTCCAGTTTTGATGAATATAAGGCAACAGAGGCACCCCCAGGCCGGGTGTCACCCGTTGGTATGTCAACACGCACGTGAACTTAACTGCCGGCATCTTGGTGATGGACGTCGGCAAGGAGAGGAGGGGACGTTCATCTGGTGGGATGAGGTATCCTGCCGGGTCCCCTCCTCCCTCGTGCATCTGTCAGGTACATGACTGAGTGCCCGACTTTTCAGGAGGGGGTGACACTAAAATGACTGTCAATCATTTTGGTGTCACCCCCTCTGATGGTGTCACCCGATGCGAGCCGCACCCCCTTTGAGACGCCACTGAAAGGGAATCCGCTCTTTAAGACCCCGTTCACATTGAGCGATTTATCGCGCGGTAATTCCCGCGATATCGCGGAAAATTACCGCGCGATATCGCGCTCCAATGCAATCCAATGGGGCAAAGGGTCCTGCTGTCGCGGGTCGTGTGTCGCTACAACAGGACCCTTTTTGGAGCAGATTTAGCCGCGATTCAAGCTTGCTCAATGCAAGCTTGAACGCGACATCGCGCGGCAAATCTCGCGATGTCGCGCAATATGCAAATCGCGCGACAAATGCGCGATTTGCATATCGCGCAGTGGGAACGGGGCCTTAATGGCAACATCTACATGCGCATTCACGATGACGCCACGGCGGGGTGCCACCTGAAACCTGCTCCGGGTGACACCCCACCTCGGGATGCCCCTGAAAATAACAAAATGGTTTTAATGGGATATTGAACAAACCCAAAAGGGAGCACATCAGGGAGGTCCATTTTTGGGGTCTCCATACAACTCAATACACACAATGGTTTGGGGTGCAATGATATCGTTTGTCTAAATGTAACAAAACTGGAATTTTTCTTTAGACGCGGAATAGATGCTAAACTTCGGGAGGATATAAAAGACCCAAAATGAATGTAACTCTGTCATTATGATCACATCATTAAATGTATTTTATACATACCAGCAGTGTAACTTCCTGGATATAAACTTATTGCCGTCCCTGTACAGCAGGACTGGAGTGTGGGAGGAATGCACAATGAGCCATCCAGTTCATGAAAAGACAAGGAACATAGTGATAGGAGGAGAGAGCAGAGTGACGGAGAGATGAGCTCATCACTGTGCTGCTTCTCCTTTCACTGTCCAGTCACAGGCTGGGGGGGGTGGGTTCAGGACAACCCGGGCTCAGACGCAGTGGGTTGAGTGATGCTGGACATCAGGCTGAGGACATCTAGTGGCAGAAAAAAAAAAGTACAGCAACCGAAGGTAAATATATCAGCAAACGTCGGTTTTGTTATTTTACCTCTTCATTTCTATCTGGATGTTTTTGGCCGGAGTTCTGCTGTAACAGAGCAATCTGGAATCACAGGAAAGCAGAGCATTGTTGGAAGGCCGGTAATTGGAGACAACTAGTAATATGGGCGGCAGGGAGCAGAGGGGCGGCACAGTTTTGAAGTCTCCCGACAGCCGGAACATGGAGTTTCGGGCGGTAATTTGTGTTCTACATTTAGTCCTGCTTTGCACAAGCCGGGATAAATGTAGTGTGGGGGAAGCCGCTTGCTTCTTTACAAGTGATCTCGGCGATGTCTCCAAGATCATCCCCACCGCACCTACCTCTCTGCATGCTGGCTCCGTCCCCCCCCCACCGCACCTACCTCTCTGCATGCTGGCTCCGTCCTCCCGGCTCTGTCCTCTCCTCGCTGGCCGCCGACGTCTTCAGGATGGAGAGCGGGGAGCAGAGCGTCAGGGTTAAAAGTAACCCTGCAGCTCCGTGTAAACAGTGAGAGAGCAGTCTTCCCCTCTCACCTGTCACAGGACTTCCAGCACAGTGCTGTGCTAGAACTCCTGTATTGGAGGCGGCAGGGTCAATAAAGAGAACCTGTCACCTCCAAATGCTATCACACGGGGGATTTTTATCCCCTGTGTGATAGCAATAAAGTTAAGTGAAAAAAAAAACATTGCGCAAAAAAACCATTGTGCAACCTGGCCTTGGGGCAGCAGGGAGAGTAAATCAGGTCCTGAATAGTGATGGGCTCGGGCGTGTTCGCAGCTCCACGTGCCGAGCCCGCCAGGAAGCTGACAACGCGCAGCGCCAATCCACATTTCCCTGCAGCTGCGGACCGGGAAAATGTCTCAGTGCCTGTGATTGGCGCTGCAGGCTTTCAGCTTCCTGGCTGGTTTCGGCACGTGGAGCTGCGTACACGCCCGAGCCCATCCTTAGTCCTGGGAACATATAAACTCCATGCAGACTGTACCCTGGTAGGAACGAAGCCCAGGACTCCAGCACAGCAAAGCAAGAACACTAACTAGTTTCAGTTATGTTTCCACAAATATATAGCCAATGGTGACACCTACTGGCAGTATTTATGTATAGCAAGTAGAGTGATTTAAAGCCGACTTATAAATACATTATATATATATATATATGAGTTATTTTTTATATTCGGTCCATACATGCTCAGTAATGTGTCAACACTTCCAGGTATCAGTTACCTCTCACGGCGATCACGGATTACTCTGCGTTCTCTGCTCAACAAAGAAAATGTAGTTGCCCCAAATAATTGGTGGTGAAAACATGACACCAAACACACCTGACATAACTGGTAGAGAGGAGCCCGGGGCTTAGTGTGAACCCAGTTTGCTTGAGATCGCCTAGGACCCCACCTGGAGCTCCTCCCACGGGACCAGCGCTGACTCGCCGCTGCTCTCCCGTGCCCCTCGCCGCTGCTCTCCCTCGCCGAAGGTAAGTGGAAAAAAAAACAAAAACATAGCGCAAACATCGGGGCATTTTGACAAGTACAAGTACTTGTCAAAATGCCCTGTTTTTACAGGGGGTCTGCACCTTGCCCACCTTGCCTAAAATCCTAGCACCGGCCCGGCCTGTATGTGACATATAGCCTCGGGGCAGGGAGTGCACCTCTCTCCTCGGGTCAGAAGGAGGGGGCGACAGTCACAGTGTCGAGCGAGCTTGGCCGAACTTTGTCCCTGAAGTTGATGTGTTGGAAGCAGAAACAATGGACAAGTGTGAGGATTTGAGGGACTTTGACAAGGACCAAATTGTGATGTCCAGACGAGTGGGTCAGAGCAACTCCAACACTGCAGCTCATGTGGTATGTTCCCGGTCTGCAGTGGTCAGGACCGACCAAAAGTGGGCCAAGGAAGGAAAGCCGGTGAATTGGTGGCAGGGTCATGGGTGGCCAAGGCTCATTGATGTACGTGGGGAGGGAAGTCTGGCCCCTGTAGTCCGATCCAATAGAAGAGATACTGGAGATCAAATTGCTGAAAAAGATCATTTTGGTTTCGATAGAAAAAAAAAAAAAAAAAGGACAAAAAAAATAATTAAAACCAATCCTGCCGCCCCCGTCATCTGGTTGCGATTCTCCGTCAGGTGGGGGTTTTGACAGGGAGGGGGGCGCATTGAAGAACCTAGCCTTGGGTAGCAGAGAGAGTAAATCCAGCCCTGGCCACGCCCCCTCCCACCCCAGAACGAAGGGGGAAGTTTAGTGAGCGATCGCTGTGCATTCCAGCAGCTACCGCTCCGGAATACAAAGTATTTTCAGGCAAGACACATTTAACTTCACCTTTTGTTCAAAAAGTAAATTTTATTATTTACATGTTATATTTGATATCATTTATATATGATCAACGACATTAAATTGCTGAGATAAAATCAATCAGAGCGATAGACTATAGACTAGAGCAATAGACTATAGATAGACTATATTTATATCGCTTACATAATACAAATACATTTCTGTCTTCTTGTTTTACTTACTATTCTTGTGCTTTTTTTTCTTCTAACTGTAAAAATAAAAACACCAAATATAAGTAAAAAAGGGAAAGGATGGAGAATGTATCTTTTTGGTGTCTTATTTTTATTTGATGGTTCCAGTGGTGGGGAGCAAGCATTAATGAATTGGTGGGAAGAAACATGGCAGCCTACAGGGGAGCAAACATTCAAACGTATGAGCCAGCAGGAGGACCCACAGCGGCTGGCAGGGGTTTGGAGATATGAGACAGGAGGAGGGATCATAGTGGTAGGTGGGGGGAGCTATCATTTAGAGAGGGAGCAAGCATTCGAATCCAACAGGAGGAACCACAGTGGCCAGCGGTGGGGAGCAAGCATTTAACTCATCTGACGGTTGAATATTTGCAGTGGATGGGGGAAACAAGCATCCAGATGTATTATTAGTGGGAGGACCAAAGCAGATGGCTGAGAGAGCAAGCATTCGCACGTACAAGCCAACGAGAGAAACTACAGTGGTTGGTGGGGGAAGCAAGCATTTACACATAGGAATCCTAGGAGGGGCCACAGCAGTTGGCTGAGGCAGCAAGCATTCGAATGTACAAGCCAGCGTGAGGAACTACAGTGATTGGTGGGGGCAGCAAGCATTCAGACATTGGAATTGGTGGGAGGAACCACTGCAACTGGCTGGGGGAGTAAGCAATCAGATGTACCAGCCAACAGGAGGAACCACAGTGGCCAGCGGTGGGGAGCAAGCATTTGACTCATCTGACGGTTGAATATTTGCAGTGGATGGGGAGCGGAGATGCAACAGCTTTTCAATACACTCACAGCCAGCCCTGGAGTCAGAAACAAACAACATGCAACCTCTAGAACAGGTGTAGGTAGCCAAACTCTGGTCCTCCAGCTGTGGTGAAACAACAAATCCCATGATGCATCTCTCTCCAGGAGTCATGTCTGTGGGTGTGAGAATGTTGCAATACCTAATGGGATTTGTAGTTGCACCACAGCTGGAGGACCAGAGTTTGGCTACCACTGCTCTAGAACACCGATGTTCTATCGAAAGCTCCAACTCGTCGAGATCTCCAACAACCTCACTTCCAGAGACTTGCAAATTGGAGATTTCGATGAGACGGCATTACACTACAAAACAGGAAGACAGGAGGAGAATGTCCAATGGCTAATTTTCTGAAGAATAGTAAGGTTCTGGTTTCCCCGGATCATTGAACATCATTGCTCTTGAGAAGGGCCGGATTTCCCACAAGGCCACCGAGGCCCGCCCTCGGGGCGGCAGGGGTGTAGAATCTCCCGACGCCCTGGGACATGAAGTTCCGGACGGGTAGTTGTTTTCTACATTTAACCCTGCTTTAGACAAGCAGGGCTAAATGTAGAGCGGGAGAAGCGGTTCGTTTACAAGTGATCTCGGCCATGTCGCCAAGATCACTTGTAATAAGGCTGCAGGTCCGTCCTAAATACAAACTAAAAAAAAAGAAATAATAATTAAAATAAAAAAGTGAATAAAAAGTAAAAACTAATAAGAAACAAATTATAAAAAAATAATAAGACAAAAAAAATTGTAAAAAAAAAGTAAAAGATAAGATAAATAAAAGTTTAACAAAGTAAAATAATCAATAAAAAATAAAAAAGCGATCAAAAAGTTAACAAAAAATAATGAAACAATAAAAAATGAAAACTAACCTTGCCGCCCCCGCCATCTGGTAGCCATTCTCCATTGAGGAGGTTTTGGAGGGGGGGGCATTGAGGAACCTGGCCTTGGGGGCAGCAAAGAGAGTAAATCCGGCCTTGCTCTTGATCAAGCCCAATGGTTTTCTGCCAATTCCTTCTTCCATCCCAAAGCCCTCCAATCTTTATTTAACGATTTTCACCCAGGCTCCGTAGCCCACCCTGATGGCAGCGTGAAGCGGCTCGCGAAATCTATGGTAGAAAGTGTGCAAGAATCTAACCTCCGGCTCTAAACTGTAAAAAGACAGTTGCCCCTTGTCGAAATGTAGATATATCCCCAATCTCCTAAACCTTTTAAAAGAGGAGGATACAGAAACGTAACCGCCGTCATGCCTGAAGAAATAACCTTTCTGGCTTTTACACAGGCACCAAGACTCATCGGTATTCCCAAAGATGGAATCATCCCCATCCCTGTCTATTGAGAAGTAAGACATCCCTATCCTCCAGGTATTGGTGTCCCACAGCTCAACTTCCCAGTAATGTCTTCCCCCATTGAGACCCGTTTTGCCTAACACCTGGTGAGAGTCAAACCTGTTGTCTGTGTCATCACTAAGTGATTTGAAGTAATTCTCCTGTGCCCCATTGGCCATCAAGAAATCGGGGGAAATGGTCACGTTAGGCGCAGCCGTCCTCCTGTCAAGTTGCAGCTGTGATGTCCCGGGAAGCTTGAGCATTTCTGGAACATTCTTCAACACTTCAGATAACTCCTTCTGCAAGTTCAAAGCAATCAAAAATTCATCCATTTCCGCAATTTTCGGGACATCTTGGCGACCTCCCTTTTCGGTAACGCAGAAGTCGCCTTTGGTGGATTCCTTCTCCTGCAGGACCGTTAGAGGGTCCGTCACGTTGCAAAGCTCCTCGACGTGACAGATTTTGCTACACAGCTCGTCCTTCTTTATTTCCAGCTGCTGGATCAGATCAGAGATCGGCTTTGCATTCCTTTCTGCTTCCTTGGCGACATAGTCGGCGGTCTGAACTTCAAGAAAGTCCAACCTTTCCCGAATTTGTCGGAACATGCCGCCCAAGCGCGCTGCGAAAGAGTTCACCGAGTCGTTGGCTCTTCCTTTTCTCTCCCGTAGACTCTGGAGCCTTTTTTCGGTCTCCTGTCTATTGGAGGTGAGTTGGGTCAGGATCTTTTTCAGATTGTCCTTTTTGTACTTGGAAGCTTCACCTAGCGGCTTGGTCTTGTGTCCTCTGTGGTTGGCACCTTGCAAACATGACACGCAGAGGCAGGTAGAGTCCACGGTGCAGTAATACTGCAGGACCTGTTTGTGGAGGGAGCATTTCAACTTCCCTGGGGAAGTGGTGGGCTCGATTAAGACGTGTTCTGGTGACTTGGGGTGGACCTTCAGGTGACTATCGCACAGAGAAGCTTCGCAGTGCAGGCAGCATTGAACGGCAGGCACGGCAGTGTGAATGCAGTATCTGCAGGAAACCCCAGTCTTCTTCTGGTCGGGCAGAGTAGAGTGGAAGCGCTCTGCAATGTTAGACAGGGTCACATTCTTCTGGAGCCAAGGACGTTTCCTGAACACCGATCTGCATTCGGGACAGGTGAAAACACCGCACCTCCTTTGACTATCCAGCACACGATTGATGCATTCCCGGCAGAAGTTGTGACCACATCTCAGTGTTACCGGGTCCACGTAGACCTCCAGGCAGATGGAGCAGTTCAGCTCTTCTTTCAAGTCAGCAGACGCCATTGTCAGCAACTGCAGGAAACAAAACTATAATGAACTCCGGAAAAAAACAAGTTTTGCTGACGTGGCACATTAACCCTGAAGCACTGACTTCTGAAGCATTAGGGATTAAAGCTGAACCTCCGGGCATGATAAACACAGTCAGCTTTTCATTTAAAGTCTAGGTATACCCAAAGGTTTTTATTTTAGTTTTGGATAGAATGGGCAAAGGCAGGAACCCTTGTCAGGTTGTACTGTTATCCGGGGTCCCTCAGCAAGATCTCGCTTCACTTCCTGTTCGGGGGACAATATTTTACTAGGCAGGAAGTAAGGGGAAATCTGCAACAATAATTAGCTGACAGAGGTTCCAGCATTTCCCTACTTAAAGAGGAATAGTAAATATACTAACCTGATCCTCCCTGCTAGACCAGTCCCCACATCCTCTTCTTCTCCCCAGGCTTTGGCGGTCTAAGACCCGCTGATGTCATTATCGACTTTCCAGCACCATGCAGCTCAGGAGTGTCCTGGGTCATGTTGTCAGACATTCCCAGAGCCGTGCACCTCCCTGGCAGACCAGTGTGAGGAGGCAGCGGGATGCAGAGCTGTGTCAGGGCTGGGGTCAGCCGGGTTTAGCAAACTTACTTTTACCATGCACCAGTGCGCCCCTCCACTCTATCACACATGCAGGGGCAGGAAGTTTGGAGTCCCCCTGGCCGATCTGCCCCGCCGGACACCCCAGTACACAACCACAGACGGGGTGGGGGGACACTTAATTCTCCCTGGCCTGGTTGTCCGATTGTTACACACCTTCCGACCGATCACAGGGAACAACTACCCACACATGCACTCAGCCACTCACACACACACGCACTCTCACTCTCTCTCACTCCAGCTCCCATGAAAACCATACATGGCAAATGATACATGACATAAAATGTGAATTTGTAATATGAATAGATTTATTATATGAAATATGGTCACAGAGAATGAATATTTTTTTTTCATCCATTGATTCAATTTAATTAAAATAAAATAAATGTATATTGATACAGATAAATCACAAATAGAAAGAGTTATTTAGCGTAAGAATATACATGTGGCATGGATTCCAGGCCTTCATACACCTATACCACTGTGATACTATACCACTACCAAGCCTATCATCTGATGTGATTACAGAAATTCATATAACAATAAGACTTCTTCAATTAAAAATTATCCCACAAAAATAACAATTTCAGAAGTAGAGACCCCCCCTCCCCCTTACCTTACTACTGACTGCCAGGCACTGCATACAGCAGCAGGATATATTTCCAGGACGGCTTATAAGAGAGAATCATCAGTCAAATTTTTTATTTTACTGAAGAAAACCCCTTAACCTGGACTGGAAAATCAGAAGCAATTATAGATTACAGAATGTCGCGTGTCAAGGAATGCCATTAAAATATCTTTGTTGTCTCTTAGCCCTTTATTCACACTAGAAAAGGCCGGCACGTACAGATCCGTGCTGCGTGCACGGCCGTATCGGGCAGCTCCCGGGAAGGACAGGTGCTGCGTGTGATTAGTACGCAGCCCCCTGTCCTTCTCTATGGGAGTACGACGCCCTACACTCACCCCAAGTGCAGGTGGGTACAGGTGCATGTTTCCTGGCTCGGACGCAGACAGGATCTATCCTGTCAGCTTACAAAAACGGACACCCGCACGGACATGCAGGGCAGGTGAGCATAGGGCGGCGTACGGCCACTTACTCCCATAGAGAAGGATGGGGGCTGCGTACTAATCACACGCAGCACCTGTCCTTCCCGGGAGCTGCCCGATACGGCCATGCACGCAGCACGGAGCTGTACGTGCCGGCCTTTTCTAGAGTAAACGAAGGTTTAAAGTGGATGTAAACCCAACCAGGAAAACCTCATATGTTTAGTATGTTAATGTCGTTTCAAAAGTTGCTCCTAATCTTTTTAAATCTGCAGCTTTTATTAAAATAATCCTGTAACAGACTCACCTCGAGCCATTCCAGCACTGCGCTCTGGGGCCGTGCACACACGGCTCGAGGTGAGTCGGTTACAAATCCCCGGGGATCCTGCCATGGAGGTCCCTCATCAGACACCTCCTGATATGGGGTGACAACTGTCTCTTAGTTGTGCTCTTGAGACTACAGGCAGCTTTGCCAACACACATTGCACAGGCTTGGGCCACTGTTGTTGTCACCTTGCCCAAAGCAATGATGTGCGGATGACGCTGGATCGAGCGTCTGACAGGAAGTGGCTGAAAGAGGCTGGGAGCATTCAGCTGCCCCGAGGTGCAAAAAAAGTGTTTGTTAAAACAAAAAAAAGAGACCTCAAGGAATCACATCTGTGTGTTGTGGTGCACTGCAGTGCAGGTGTGCTATAGCAGTTATATATCAGTGTTGGGGTCCAACTGAACAGTAAACAGAACATTCCACAATATACATTAATTGGCATATATTATTTATCCAACAAAACTGCAGATATATTAATTCTGTGTTAACCAGCTGTTGTGAGAATGGTGTGAGAATGAAGGCAAATAACGAATGATCTTAGTATACTTTCTCTTCTGGTCGAATATTCTTCAATAGGTTCATTCATATAGAACTCAGTGAAGGGGGAATATATCACATTTTGTCCACTAGATAGCAATGAGGATCATAGGAAATAATACATGACAATGTTACAATTCAAGAGACCACTGGAGGCGATGAGCATATATGTAACTAGTGATACTGCATGGATAACAATGGTTTCATTTATATGCTCATTCCCTCCTCCATCTTGAGTTGTATCTCGATACTAATATGTATTTATTTCCTATGATCCTGAGCTGCATCTAGTTGCTATAATGTGGTATTTTCCCCAATCACTTTGTACTGTATAGATATATCTATTGGAGAACTAATACAAAACAGTAGAAAACTCCTCTGCAAAAAGCTTCAAGCATGTAGCCAACCATCCACTATAGTACTGAATTCTACCTATTCAAGAACTTTCGACCTGAAGAGATGTTACACTAAGACAATTTGTTGTTTCCCCATTCTCACACCAGCTGGGTAACATGCACAGAATTAATCTACATGTAATTTATCTGGACGAATAAGCCTTTGCAATTTTTTTTATAAACAGACTCCATTACAGTGGCAGTATTCTACATTGTTGCATTGTGAACAAACAACTGATATCTGTCAGCTACAGTACTTTAACCCCCCCCCCCACCCCCCGACAAAAAATCCAATCTCCTAACATATCATTTCTGAATTTGTTCTTCATATTTTCTTTCTAAGACCTAATTCTCACAGAGACGTTTAAACCAACTCGAAATGCAGCATGGAGGGGCTCGGAGAAGGTGGAGGTAAAGGTGTGCAAGTGTCTGATCGGGTTACTCAGCTCGTAAAAGGCCAGCCGGCCAGCCTCATAATCTAGGTAGATCCCTAACCACTTAATAGAAGACGCATTAGGTAAAATAATATCATTATTAAGATGCTTAAATGAGAATGTTCTGTTTGAGCGTACTAAGCACCAGGAGTCGTCGCTATTGCCAATGACAGATGAAAGCCCGCCACGGTCTATGCTGGGGTAGCACATTCCGATTCTAAAGTTATTATTGCCTTCAATATCTACTTCCCAGTAATGTTTTCCCTTATAAAAAGCATTTCTACTTAAAACCTGGTGAGACTCGAATTCTTCCGAAGTCTTTTCAAACGTGTCATCAGCTTCTACCCCTCTGGCTAACTTTAGGTCACCAGATTTCACACATCACCGACAGCGGGTCAGTCATGGAGCACACGTCTTCGAGGTGATGGATCTTGTTGCATAGCTTTTCATGTTTTATTTCCAGTTGACGGATCAGACTAGATCCTGAGCCCAAAATCTGCTCCTTTCCGCTGGAGATATCGTAAAGGACTCGGCGCTCCAGGTCTTCCATCTGCTTCCGGGACGCTCTGAACAGAGAGGCAACTCTGTCTGCTATACCAGACGCTTTTTCTTGAGCTTCTCCATTACATTTCTTCAAACCTTGGATTCTCTTTTCTATCTCGTTCCTTCGGGTGGTCAGCTCCGATAGAACACGTCTACATTTCACTTTTTGTTTCTTGCATGCCTGGGCCAGGGTTTGGACAGTATGCCCCCGGTGCCTTTTTAGTGGCTTGCAGGACTCACAAATACAAGCGGAGTCTTCAGTGCAGTAATACTCCAGGGTCTCCTTGTGGATAGAACATTTCCTGTTCTGTGGGTCATTGGTGGGTTCACTTAGGACGTGCTCCGGTGACTTGCTGTGGATCATTAGGTGTTTGTCACAGAAAGAAGATTCACAACGCACGCAGGATTTAACAGCAGGTGCAGGAGACTCAATGCAGTAAGTACACAAGATCCTAGCTTTCTTGTCCTCTGCTAGGTAATTTTCTGCTAAGTCTCTTAGTCTCGTGCTTCGTCTTAGTTCAGGTCTGTTGGGGAACCTTCGCCTGCATTCCGGGCAGGAATATTCTCTTTGCTCCTGATGGTCCCATGTCTGTTTGATACAGTCCTGGCAGAAACTGTGTCCACATAACAGGGTTACGGGATCTTTGTAGATTTCCGTGCAGATTGAACATGTCAGGGAGTCTCTCACTGCAGAAGAAGCCATCTCAGACTAGCAGGCGTAAGATACAAAGCTGTGTACGTGTAACATATATATTAGACCAACACCCAGTAGGTGTGTACACTTTGCCCTTCAAAAAGATAAAGGTGACACGCGATTCTTTACAATCCAGTTAATTCATTTTTACGTATGCCCTTGTCTCATAGCAAGCAATAAGGGTCTTGGGTTTGGTCCCCGTGTGAGTTTCCTAGAGGTGCTCCGGTCTTCTCCCCCAAAAATGTGTCAGGTCTGATCATGTTTTACCTAATACTGGCCCTAGTGTGTGCCTGCTGTGTGATATTAGAGTGTACATTTTGTTTTATTTAAAATTTCTTGCAAACTCATACAAGATACAACTTTTTTATTCAGACTAAGAAACATGACCCGTCACCTATGCACGCAGCCTTTTTTCAAAAAACATTACCTGGAAAATATA